TCAATACTGAAATCCACACTCAACCAGTACACAAATGAGACAGCTCTGCCAACAAAGCGGCAACCATGTGGAACAAGGAGACGTGAACCAGTGGGAACCTGGACAAAGGTGCAGGTGCTCTTTCTGCCCGTCCACAGCAACACTTCTGCAAATTCAGGCATTCGATAAATAAGTAACCTTTTTTTTTTTGCTTCCTAGTAATAATTAAAACAAACACACACCCCAAACACACATGCAGCAAGAAAGAAAACAGGTGGGCTTTGGTTAGGACATGATGTTCAGGAGGGAGGCCTGACAGCTAACATCCTGGTCAACATTCCCTCCCGTTAAAACAGCTACCCTGTCAATGCGCCATACTCACTGGGCACTTTAACAACCCACGGCTAGAGGACTGCCCTCAGGACCAGGAAAAGAAGCCACATCTTGGAGCGAAAGGGGCGACCATTAAATGGTGGGGAGTGGTCTTATGCAGTGAGTCACCACAGAGACGGCAGTGACTGCGGACCCCGGGAAGTGGCCAGTCCAGTAAAGTAACTCCCAGCCTCTTCACAATGAGGATGCAGCCCAAGCAAAATCGGCACCCAACCAACAGGCTGGGACCCAGCAAGAACAAACCATCTGAAGGGCACCGCTATTACGCAATCTGCAAGACGGAAGCCCGGGCTAGTTTATTATGGACTCCGGCACTGACGAGGGGAGAGGGCATAGGACCAGCATAGTCCTGACGTGGCAACAGTGCATCATCGAGGCGAAAATGTGAACACTAACCACCTGGACCAGTCACGTCCCCCTGCTCTGACTCTGGTTCTCCCGAGCATGGCCTGGCTCCCCTTTGAGGCTGCATCCTTCAGGGGGGTGGTCTCACCTCCTCCCAGGGCTGGTCACCACTGAGAACTCGCCCACCACCACTCCTGCTTCCCCGCCAGGCTCTGCAGGCTTGCTGACCGCAAATCACCTCCGCCTAGAGGCAGTTCAGCCCCTGGGGAACAGCCAGAACCAAGGACCACGGTCCCAGGGGGTTCACTGAGTCCACCAGGGAACAGCGGGTGCCAACTACACCCCAGGGAGGCTGCTTTCTTTGGGGATTTTTCCTTTTGATGCCTTTACTTTAAGTTTGAACATCCAAACCAGCATTTCCCTAAATGGGGTCTGAGAAGTTGAATTCCATCCTGAGATGCTTCAGGAAAGGTAGAAACGATAAGGCCTGGGGTGTGGGTCGGGGGTCAAAGAGAGGGGAAGGCGCTTTGGGGTTCTATTCAGGCTCGTTTCTCTGGCTCTCACAGGAGACCTTAAGAGGCGATTCTGGTTTCTACAAGGATGGCTTTTGGTCTGCACAGTTAGCATCTCCAGTACCCAGCCTGCTGCGATGACGGCGCTGGGAGGGGTGAGGAGAGGAAAAGATTGGCTGGGATTTGACTCCTCCCTCTCTCAACCCTGTGTCCAGAGGACCGAGCACCATCCACGCTGACCACTGCCACCGCCGTCTTACTGCCTTTGGTTCAAGCCTGTCCTCTCTCATGCCAGTGACCCCGATGGCCCCGTTTCTCTACTCATTTCCTATTCCACGCAGCCCATGGGGCCACCTTTCTAAAGCACAGACCTGACCTTCACTCCCTTAATGAAGCCCCAGCCCACAGGCGGAGTCCGACCTGGCAGGGCAGGTGTGGCGTGCAGAGATCACGGCTGCCACTCAGACTCACGCCCGCTGGCTACACGGATCCATGCGTTTCTGTGCCCGTTTCCTCATCTGTGCGACGGGAATAATGCGATCGGCCTCCAGGGCCATGGAGGGGGCCCATCCAGGTTGCGGAGAGCCTGGTCTCCAAGAAGCACCGCGACTCTCCTATCCCCAGCCTGGCTCCTGAGTCTGCCCTCCTCACCGCCTCGCTGTGCTGACGCCCCGCAGCAAATGAATCCCAGAAACTCAAGGGAAAAGAAGACACATTTGAGATCTAAAAATTAAGGGTCATAAACAGAAAAATGAGGCTACCAAAATGTGAAAGAAACCAAAATTAACTCATTATCAAAATAATGCAAGAGGAGGGAAGAGACAGGAAGAGAAGGCAAACAGTACTTCGGGGAGGAACTGCTTTTAAAATCTATGGCTCTGGGATTTTTTTAGACTTCATTTTTTCCCAAAGATTTAGGAAGATTACATTTTAAAGGCTCACAAAGGAGACACTTCTGGTTTTTTTTTTTTTTTAAAAGCTATTTCTTAATTAATATCTTCAGAGAACGAAGAAGTACTTTTATAGACTGACTGAATCTTAATAAAATTCTCAGAGAAATTCTGGCATCAGTCACAACAAACACCCTCCTGGAATTTAATTTCCTTTTCCCCACACAACTTACTATGGAAACTCATTTACAGTGCCGCCGCCACCAGTCAAAACCTGCCTGGAGCACAGAAACTTCAAAGCCCCACAAGAGAGTCTTACAGGACGAGATGGATATTGGCCCCATATTTAGCCAAATCCTACATCTAACGAGATGTCCCCCATGCCAAACTTTCCAGATTTTACTGTCAAACCAACTCTCTCATCTCCTTCCTGGCCCGCATCTGCCCTGCACCCGCTCCCCCAACTTACACTAACAATGTCCCCTTTCAGCTGGAAACCCCCAAATTCAGTATCTTTTCCCTGCCCAACAAAACGAATAAAAAAGGAGAGAAGGGCATAAAATAGGCAAAGGGAAAGGAGCTACATCCATCTTCAACCTCCTAACAAAGATCTGTCTTTTCTGGTTTCTGGTTTGGGTCAATTCCCTCCTTTTGGATGACACTGGGGCCTGGAACGCTCACTGCATATGCTGCAGGTGGGGGTGGGAAGGCAACAGCTAAAAGAATTATTCATAAGTACAAAAATGTACTTCAAAAGCCTTTCTCCCTCAAGGACAATTCCTACTGGAAAACTTAATCCCATTATCCCGAGTGCCTGTGGTAAGTGTAGGGGAAGGGCTGGATGACAACCACATCCCCTGCAATTCCCAAGTGTATCTCATTTAACGCAAGGCAGACAACATCACCCTGAGTTTACATACTCAGAAACCGGGCTCAGAGGGATCAGCATGTATACCCTAAGCCTACCAGATACAACTCATGGACTCATAAGCTTCCAGTGCCCCCAAATGCTTGTGTTAAAACACTGTCCCGAGTTGGAAGGTCCTTTACAGTTTACACATTGCATTTCATATACATCATCTCATTTAATATCACAAACCTGTATGATAGCTAAGAATTCCTTTTCCACTCTCGCAAAAATGCTATTTGGTTGCAAAGACCATCAGTAACTTGTGTAAGCTAGTGGCAACACTTAGAGCTGTATCCTGTCTAAGCTTTGTTTCCTCATCTCACAGTGCCTGATAGACTTATGGGCTCAGATGTTGACTATTATTAGCATCATGATTGCTATTAATTTAACAGCCCTCAGTTATTCATACACACACACATATATACACTATAGATATTTTAAAGATTCAACTTAATTACCTGCTGGAGAGGATACAATTTTACCACTACCTCAAACTCAGAGATAACCACTAACAGCTGCTTCCAAGAAACTGACAGAAAAGGATTACTGAAAATGATGTGGTCAAACCCAATATGGATTTTGAAATCTAATGGAAGAGAACAGAAGGACAGGAACATTGAGTTATGATAAAATACAAAAAAAAATAATAATAATCCTCCTCTCCCAGTACCATGGCTTGATCATGAATGTGCTGTTTGACTCAGCCATGTCATTTCAACTCTGCGATGACCCTCAGAGTCCAAAACAAGATGGCCAGCAGGTGACCCAGAAGGTCTAGTGAGAGGCTGCCCGGGGGTCTGGGGAGTAGGGGTGAGGTGGACACCTTACTACCCAGAGCTATTTTTAATGTGGTGCCTCTAATGCACTGTTTGCTTACTAATTTCACTCACTTGAAAAGAAACCTGGGAAGTTCAGAAATGCCAGGCACAACAAGAATCAGCTCACCACTTCTCAAGTCACAATGGAAAGGATGACAGAAGGGTGGTGGTACAAGGAGCACAGCATCAATCAGACAGAAGGAAATCCTACAGACTATGGCAATGACAGATCCTGGGGATGTCCTTTGAGTAAGGCTGCACCAAGACCAGTCCCACTGAGCATCCGCTCTAGGCTTGAAGGTTAAAAAAAAAATTCAGGTCCACCGATGAGACATGAAATTTTTTTAAGCACAGTTAAATACCTTACAGTAATGATAGCTGGACAGCCTGCAAGAGACTCCCTGCATGAGAACAGTATCTCATACTGTAAATCTAGTACCAAGCATTGTAAGTTTTGGTTTTGTTTTATGTTTTGCAGTCTTCCTTGCTTCTCAGCTGTTTTAAGTCCATCCTAATTTCTTTATAACAGGTTGTGGCCCATTTTCTGTGGCCCATCTAGTTTCATGAGGAAAAAGATTTCAGTCTCCCTCAGAAGCCTACTCCTGCCTCCATCAGACTGTCTAGCTCTTTATTTATACCCCACTTCACAGATGAGGAAACTGAGTTCCAGAGAGGGGAAGTGACTCATCCCGGGTCATAACCCTTGCTAATAACACTAGGACTAGCACCAGGGCTCAGGCCCAGAGTGTGGGTCTCCAGCTCTATCGCTGTTGCAAATGACCTGGCATACTTGTGTCTTGAATACAAAGTTTATTTGGGGGAAAAAAAAAGCTAATATGAGTCATCTCCATCGTCAAGGGGCACCACACAGATTATTTTAATAAAGCATCCAGCATCTCCAGAACCACTTGTTTCTGAAACAGCCAACCTCAGCCCCAGAGAATAAAAGGCCACGTCCTATTCCCCTTCAGGATACCTACGACCCTGTGAGCAGATGTGCTGCTGGGCTTTGGGGATCTGCTCGCCCAGCCCAGGAAATCCAGGCGTTGCGGGTACTGGGAACGGGGTGAGTGGGTGTGGGAGGAGGTCGGAATTGGGTTTTTAGACAGCTTCTGGCAACAGTTACGATTTCATGCAGTCCAATCCTACTCACCTTGGAACTCCTAAATATCTCATCCACTCAGGGGTCCCTCCTCAACTTTCCCAGGACAAAAGCACTGCAGTCTGGGAGGTGAACCTGGCAGATGCAGAGGGGCGGTATTTGACCCCAAGCGGTAGAGGAAGCACAGCGCCGCTCCCTCCTCCACCGGTTACAGGAACTCCCCACCGGGTCTTCAGATGCCACTGGCGTCCCCAGCTCTGAGCCTGCCCCCTCTCAGGGTCTGCCCCAACAGAGGCGGCGAGGAGGCAAAGCCCACTCCCCACCGCTCTACCCCGCCACCGGCTCGCCTCCCGTCCCCCCAGCGGCCGCCCCGCAGTGGGGTCCCCTCCCTCCTCACCCGCAGGGCCCCAGCCGAACACTTCCCCACTCCAGCCCGAGACCCTGAGCGCA